CTAAGCTAAACTTTTGTACTGTTTATTAAATTTTTGCTATGTTTCTCAAAACTGAGATTTGCTGGTTGAAAATGGGAAAGTTTTCTGAACAGGTAGTAGTCATGAATTTGCAGCAAGTGCTGCTCTTATGGCTTTTAGAATCTGTTATGTAGGGTTTATGTTCTCTTTTAGAAACAATATTTGCTTATGATTAGTGATACCTAATGTTAATTAAGTACATGCAGCCTACTTCATAGCTAATCTTGCTGCCAATATGACATTGAGGTAAGAAGGTTTTGAAATACCACTCACATTTTTCACAAACTGGTGGATTTCAGGCTGCAAGTAATCATCTGCTATGTTTCTGCTCCTTCTCAAGTTCTGGTGACCCTGAGAGCCTTTTATTATGACTGCAGTAAACTGACCAGCTGTTTAGCCTACAGTTTGTTTGGAAAATAAATGGGTGAACGAGTTAGTTTGCACACAGAGTACATTGCTTTGCTTCTCTGGGTGCTCCTAGCTTGTTGTTGTGCCCAAGGTTCCAGTTCCCTGTTAACAGAAAAAGAGATACTTCTGTACAAGGAATAGTATTTTAAAACAGCCAACCTGCCTGCCCTTGTTTCCTGTGGAGAGTGTGGTCTCCATAGTGTACTCTGCAGCATTTGCAGCTGAGTTAGGTCTGATGGGCAACACACTGTAGAACATAGAGGGGGAGGGAAATGCCAGGCTTTCCATGTGCAGCTCCCTGTACTGTGGTGTTTGTAACCACAAATCTTAAGAAATAGGTACGCTGAAAAGTCATCTCTGTGGCTCTTGCTCCTGCTTGTCCTTTAAACTGAGGAGGCTGCTTGTTTCAGGAAGACCTTACGTGTCAGAGCTCTGACATCCAACACGTTGCTGCTGGCTGAGCACTGTTTTCTCTCCCTGCAGGTGGTGCAGTTCAATCGCTTACCTTTGGTAGTGAGTTTCATTGCTAGCAGCAATGCCAATACTGGTATGTCTTCACGTGTGTTTTAAATACTGCAATATGCTAAGGCCCAGATATTTAAATAATTGAAAATAAATTACCTGCATTCACTTCAAGCTACGTTAGTTTTGCTTCTGCTATAAATTTTGTCAGCATATGTGAAGGCGAGAAGGAAAAGGTAAAAATTGACAGATTTTACATGGCTTGCTGAAGTTGTTATTTTAGAAGCATATTTCTCCTGTGATTAACTTTACCCTTGCTGGCTGAGAGTGTTTGCTGCACTGGCAATTATTGTACTGTACAAACCAGTTGTTTGGTCTCTTTGTCAGTTCCAGGTTAACATTCTGCAGTAACAAGTGCATCTTCATCTTCTGAGTTCTGTGGGGTGGGGAAATCCTTCAGCCAGGCACCCTGGCCTTTAGTCGTGAGGGCATTGGCTATTGAGCAGAAGGGATTTAATTCTGGCACAGCTGCTTGGGCCTCAGCAGCTGTGGGAAGTAGCAGGGTGGTAGTGGGGGAGAGCTGTGCTGTGTGGGGTGTGCCCCTGTTAGTGCTGGGGGTGCTGCCCACTATTCCTGTGGAGAGTGAGCAGCTCAGGTGAAACATTCCATGTTCTGAAAAACACTGCCTGTGGCTTGGGAGGGGCAGGGAGCTGTGGGTTTGGAGAGAGGCTTCCCAGTGTTGTTGTTTGATGGAATGTTCTGTCTCTTCTCTCTTTCCAGGGTTGATTGTAAGTTTAGAGAAGGAGCTCACACCCCTGTTTGAAGAACTGAGGCAGGTTGTTGAGGTTTCCTAACCTGATGGTGTAGCCAGAGTGCAGCATTCCTCTGCAGCCCAGTGGACAGAGAGATTCAATAATCGTCAAATAACACATCTCAGAAGAAATATCACAGCTCCTTAGTATACTAAGTAAGAGTAAATTGTACATAGTACTGAATCTGAAATGATCTACTAGTGTGTTGTAGGTGGATGTTACTTTAGGCCATGCTTCTTGTATTGTGCAGTACTGGAGATACCACCAAAATAGCTCCCATGGAGTTTAGCTCAGCCAGCTGAGCCAGATCGGCACAATGCTGTTGGCTCAAATGAGCAACCCACAGATCTCTTACTTCACAGGGAACCAGGCACATGGCAGGGTGTATCCTCAGGCCAGCCACCACTGCGTGTTGGAAGGCAGATTGGTTGTATGGTGTGATCAAAGATGTGGCTGAAAGCTACTGTGAGAGCAGGTTTATTAGCAGTGATGTGTCGGTACAATCAATACGTATCCCAGCTTTCTTATATGGGAGATACTTTGGCAAGGGAGTGCTACTAATCTGGATGCTAGCTGCATCCTGCTTCCACTAAGAAGAAAGCTATTTCTATGGAAGCTCTTGCTTTAGGGGTTTTCCTGATGCCCAGCTAAAAGCACCCAAACAATGTCTCACTTCATGATTTTTTTGTGTGTAATATGGTTGTGAAGATTTCATGTCTCATAGTCTGTGTGGGTTCTTCACTGGTGACACTCTCAGCTCATTTACCCTTAGGTTTTCTTAAGTAAGTAAATACAAATAAAATACAGTATTTTTAAATGGCAGAGCCTGGTCCACTCTTCTGTTGCACCATAGTACCCCACAGCACATCTGCTTTTCTGTGGTGAAATCAGATCTCTTGTTTGTAAATGTACAAAATCCAGGGGTTTACAGGCTGAAGACCAACCAGTGTGTCTCTCAGTTGGGTGGTGAGCATGAGTCCTTGCCAATGCAGAGATCCTATTGCTGGGGGACAGTCCTGTGTTGTTTGCCCCACCACACTGTTCCCTCCCACATTCCCCTTATGATAATTGCCAGGCAGTACTGCTCTAAGGGAGAGCTCTGCCTCAGGCTGGGAAAGGGAGTGCCACAGCCCATTGATTACACCTCACTGACCTTCAGCATCAGGCATGATGGAGGGAAACAATGCTGCTGGAAATACAGGCTGGGAATTCTTGGCTCAAAAGCTCTCTTGGAGAGTAGATTGTCAGTCAACCCTTTTCCATATAAACTGAGCTGGAATGGGACTTGTGTTGCTGGTCATTACAGAAGCAGCTGGAAACTGAGCCCCAAGGTGTCTGTGTTTCTAGCAAGATGCGTTTGTGTTCCATTGCAGGTCTAACTCTGGCTGTTTACCTCTGTTCCACTCGCCTGTGTGAGGGCTTCTTTTACTGCCTTCAGTTTGTGGCACCGTATGCTGAACTTGTTTCTGGCATTGGGTAAAGCAGCCTGACCATGTGAAAAGGGGAAGGCTGCACTTGTGGTTATCCTTCAAGCTGCGTTTCCAAGCCATTTTCACAGAACAGTGACGCTGTTGGAGAATATCCTCTCTCTCTTCCCCTTGTGCTGCCTGTCTCTCACACAAGCTCCGCAAAGGTTTTTAGCTAAATGGGAGATGCCAGTTTGTTAAACCACTTCTTGAAGGTAAAAAGGGGGACAAAGCTTTAACAATACGGTACAGGAATACAAAGACCTGTGGTAGTTTTATAATGACATTTTATTCAGAAAACAGTCTGTATAAAAATATTTACAATATTCTGAATTTCTAAGTTGAAATAAAATGCTATTCCTATGTCCAAATCTAGATTTTCTTTCTTCTTCCAGTATGTTTTTCCCTTCTTCAGTCTTCTCACAGTACAGGCACTTATCAACTGACCTGCTGCATGAGCAATACTAAACACAGGTGTCAGTGTTTGCATAGCAGGAGAGGTTTGCATATGCTGTTTCACCATTTGATCTGTTGTGCAGGAAGACAAGCCCCCCCTCTTTCCCCACCCCTCCAGGAGATGCAGGATTGCTCAGGGGGATCTTGCAGCTGAGGCAGCAGTGAGATCAAGCCAAGCTGGTCTTGGGCCTCTCCATTGTTTCAAACTTTGCTTCCAAAAGGTAGCATCTATTTTGAGTACGGCACCAAAGTCCTAGGCTTCTGTTTCTGGATTCTGTAGCGAGCCACAGCACTGTTGAGTGTGTGTGAGTCTTCCACAGTCCAGGTGGACATTTGTATCAGGTTATGTAGAAGATGTGTTCTTATGTGTGTGAGTCTTCCACAGTACAGGTGGACATTTATATCAGGTTATGTAGAAGATGTGTTCTTCTAAATTTGTATTTTTAGTGTACATGGTGCTTTTTGTTTCATATAAAGCAAGCACTGCTTAATTCTAAACACAGTTCTGGGCAAAACCTTGTTTTGAGTTCTCTGCCTGAGAAGGAAAAAAACAACCCAGTGTATTTTCAAGGGGGCTGTAAGGGACCTGACCTGTAATGCTCCTAACAATGCCAGTGGCTGCTATGGGCAAAGCTTTCTGTAGAGCCCTGTCACCCATCCCTGGGGTCCTGTGGCAGCTCTGTCAGCTGCCTGTTTCTCATAACCCTAGTTTGTAAACAACCTTACACAATGCTGCTCACCATTACTGATGCTGTGTGAAACAAGCATTCACTTGTAGCCATCACTGTGGTATGAATTTAAATCATACAAAATATATCTGACCAGAACTGTTACTCATCCACCACTTTGAAAAGGACCTTGAAATATTCTCTGGATTGCAGTATAGATACTATTTACAAAAATGTCATTACCTCTGTCATTTTTCTTTTGGTTCAAAGCCTAAACAGGTAATTATAAAAGAGATCTTTTAATGTTTCCAGAAATGACTCATTTTGAATAACAGGCTCAAGGATATGGAATATGATACTGAGGGTTAGGTGTGACACAGCTTGCAATAAATAGTAAAGAGTGCTCTGAATAACCACAAAAGTTTTTAGCAGTGACTACAGCTGTGCTTAGTTAACAGGTGTTTGAATTAGGTGCATTACAGGCGTACACGACTCATTTTGCAACCGTGTCCAAGGGTGACTCAACAGCCTCAGAGCAGATGCCACAGGGATCCTTTGTGTGCTGAGCTGGACAAGATGACTGTGCAGGCACACACACAGATGCTGGCCCACTGTGGGTAATGGACATGTGAAACTCCTCTGCTAAGTGATGCCTTCCCCTTGGCAGAGATGTGGTTCCTGCCAATGGAGCAGAAGCACTGGCGGCACCGCTAGGAACTGAGGGTGGTGTTACGCTCCTCCAGCTGCTTCCGTATTTGTGACTAGAACAGAAAAACAACCTGTTACTGTGGGTGTGGGCAAGCACAACCAACCTCATTACTGATATTTTTAAGGAAGTAGTCCTTTCGAGCCTTTATGTTGTCTTCTCATTGCTTCATTCATGTCTCAACACACACGGTCTGTGCTGATGATCCGTATTGTCTACCAACCACTTAATGACACCCTTAAAGATGGAAGTAATTATATCTTCCTAATGAGCATGTGTTTTAAAGTGCATCCCAAAAATGCTAAAGTGGGTTTGCAGACAAAACATTATGTGAAACCTATGTATTCCTCTAGTTGGCTCGGAAGCCAGAACAAGTCCACCCTTCCTGCATGTGCTGAGAACTCTATCACTTGGGTGCTACAGTACTGTGGGGTTTACGATGGCAGTTCCAAGGGTGCTGCTGCCTGAGCACCATGTACCTGCTGCACATCCCCTTACCAGTTTCCATCGCAGTATTTTAATCCACTCATCAGCTTCTATTCCAGTTCTTGCACACAGGTAGTATGTCCTTAGTGGGAACACTAAGCTGTAAGTAAACAAAACTTTCTTAAATTGCTAGAACAACTGGCAGTCCTTCACCAAACCCAGCTGGCCTGCACAACCAGTTGCTTAGACAGCAGGGCAGGGAGGCTGTGCTCCCGTTCAGTCAACAGGAGGGAGGTTAACCAGGAACAGTTGACAGTCATTTACAGCTCGGGGAGATGCTGCCCAGGTCCACAAGATAAAAGACCCACATTTGGGCACAGAAGCAGTTACCCTGTGACCTGTAGAAATGTCTGAACTCAAGATTCATGGGTCTAGGTGATGATTATAGATGCTTACAGAACTAAAAAAAGAAATGTCCACTATGCACAGGTGCACATTTTGCCAGCAGCAATTTGGTGAAGCCATGCAGGACTGACAGAGATCGGCTGACAGAAACAGATTCATGAGTTAGAGCAAGAGCAGGGTCACAACCAGCAAGGGACCTTTCAAAAGGGCTGTTTACATTTTGAACTTCCCTTTCTATTTTGACCTTCCCAGCAAGATAGAAAAAGTAGTACAGCTTACCAGAAACAATTGACTCTTTCCTGGGAGTAGTCAAATTGCACAGCTGAGCATTCAGTTAAGTCAAGTGCCCGAATCGGTTCTGTAGCCTTGAAAATAAAACGTTTTTAAAATGAGAACACATGAAAAACAGAAGATAAGGCTATCTCAGTTCATCTTCAGTGCATCTAGACCTTTACAGGCACATTAGTTTTGTCCAGGCATAGATACAACAGCATTAACACCATAAACCCAAACCAGCAAATGTAACATCAGTGCCATCATGGTATGAATTGAGCTCAGGATAAAAAACAACAGGACACTTCAGATCTAGGCAAATAACAGAGGAGATCTCTACTGCAGAGATGTCTGAGCTAGATGCAGACTGCTGAGGGTTTGGTTGATGCCTTATAATGTAACTGACACAGCAGCAAACCTAGTATCACTTCCAGTTAAGGTTTACAGGGACCTGGATAGGTATAGGGTTTATCAGACCTAGCCAGCTGTTGGGGATTTAATTAATTCTTAAGTGCCTTAAAACGATGAAGCTGGGTAAGGAGAAATACAGAAGCAAAGCTAAAGTACTGCTTGCAGCAGAAGTGATGAGTCTGGCTGCCCGCGCAGTGTTTAAGTTTTTTGGACAAACCCAGGAGTGCTCAGGCACAGAGACACAGACTGTGCGTGTAAAACTGCAGCCCATCTCCCTTAAGAGTTTCATTCTCCCTAAGTGTGAGAGTTCTTCCTGGATTTGTTCAAGCCTCACACTACTAAGACCTCAGAAGAGGCAGTTAAAGTAGAAAACCAGCTCACTTTCTGCCCAAACACCCTCAGCTGTTTGTGGTCCTTCTGTGTACGGAGATGTCTGTTACTTCCTCATCTTTCCTTACATTTTTCACTGGGTCAGTGGCTGTTAGTTACACACTACACTAGAATAAAGCCACTTCTGCTGTGATGTGCTAGCGAATGGTATCCTAGGGACAGCCACAAGCTGCTCACCTGTAGGTACCTGCAACCCCACAGACATTGGAGCTGCTGCCTGGAAGGAGGCCATATATCCTGACAAAGACTTTCTCACCTGGTCAGTCATTAAGGGAGTGCTGCCCTTTGAAATGTTATCCTGAAAACCTAACTCAAGTTGGCTTGAACTGAAATGAAAACAGATGCACAGCCCTGCAAAAACCTAACTGTTTATAAATGGTTTGGTGAGAGAAGGCAGTTGTCTGCTGCTGTGTAAAAATCCCTTAGGGGCTAGACACAGGGCTTGGCAGAGGTGCAGAAGTAAACAGTTTGGCTGTGTGTATGAAGGAATCTGAACTGGAGGCATTGTAAGGGCAAAGAAACTGTAGAGATGTTTCTTAATTTTACTCAGATTAAGAAAGAAATGGAGCAGCAACTCTAAGGACACACTGTCCCAGATACTGTAGGTTAATCTTTGTCACAAGGAATTTTTAAATGGTTTTCTTTGTATCTTTAAATCTTTGTATCTTTAAATCGTTTTCTGTGTATACTGTGAGACCACTTGAAATATAAGGATAAAATCAAATAATGCACAATATACTACTGGTATTTTTAGAACTATTTTAATAACACACTGACTGATAGGCTGTGTGTGTAAGCTACCAGTAAAGGCTGTGTTGTGCTGGTAGTTCAAAATCCACTTAAGAAAGTAACCCAAAAATGTGTTCAAGGCCAGGGTGGACGGTGTCCCTGCCCATGGTGGCGGGGTTGGAATGAGATGATCTTTAAGGTCCTTTCCAACCCAACCCATTCTGATTCTATGACAGAAAATGTTTTCCAGCTGTAAAACTTACTTTTTCTTGTTGAAGTCATCAGCAAAACTCTGACTTTCCTTGAAAGGTTTCACCCCTCTGACAGATGCAAGCCAGAGATACAAAGAGACTACAGCTTCCTGGGTAGAGGTTTAAAGAGTAGAACTGGTGTTTGCTACTTACTGTCTGGTCTTTGAAATACTTAAGTTCATTCCTATGCAGTGTAAACCACCTTGTCTTCCAGTTCTGAAAGATCAAGAGCAGAAGGTAACTGAACTGGGAGAATTTAGTCTAATGTTTCTTAGGAAAGAGAAACCTTTAAAGCTGTTGGCTGACTCTGGTTTACAGTCAGGCTTTGGTGTTGCTCAAAGCACACATTGTTCCTCTCAGCAGGGGAATGCAGGTGGAGCTATTTCAGTTCCACATTGTCTCTAGCTTCTGTGGGTGATCACAGAATGGAAGCAGGGAGTAAGATTTTTTCCTTACCTTGACTATTTTGCCTTGTTTTATCAAATATCCTTCTTTTGTACCAAGCTGTGAAGTAACAAGGAAAGGGATTGGAGTTAGACACCAAGCTCTGCTTCTATTTCCCACATCCACCTCTTTGCTGACACCTGGAAGACAGATGAGCAGCCTGTTCTTCTGGACACTCCCCACAGCCACTTGCCCTGTCCTGACTCCAATGCTTCCCTCACACAGCTGGATCCTCCACTAGGGTAAACGTGGACCTGTGCTGGCTCTGAGTGCAACCTCCGAGACTGTGCCTCCCTCAGTGACCTTCTGGCCAGCATCTTCTCAACCAAACAGAGCAAAATCGTTGCAGATACAGTTTATTTAGTAGAGGGTTGCCTTGGTCCATGTGGTAGCTGGATGCACCTGGGGTTTAACAGACAGTGGAATTATCCACAGAAATTGCACCTCAAAGGCAAACGTGGGAAAGTGCAGTTTGACTGAGGCATTCTCTTCTCTCAAACAGCTTGAGAGGAAAAAACTGTTCCCTTCCATATGCTTATTGAAAATTCGAGTTTTGTAGTGTTTCTCTGGAATCATGAGTGACACTTGAAACTTAGGACTTCTCAGATGCTGAAACTCTGTGTAGGGACCTGGTTATAAGACTCTGAAGATCAAACTCTTGCCAAGTTACTACTTGTTCCTGAAAAAATATTGCCTTTTTATTGGTGGTATGTGGAAGTCAAGCTACTTTGGAAGTTAAAGTGTAACTTGGCCATGAAGGGTTGGTTGTGAGACACAACAGAAGTGGTTCTTTTATCAGCTCTATCAACTCATATTAATGTAATGCTTCCTCTTTCTCTCAAACAATACAGCATATAATTAAAATACTTTCTGTTCTGAGCAAACCTTTCTGTGGAAACCACCTGTGTCGCCTAGATATGAGTTACTAGGGATTTAGAGCCTCTAATGACTCTCCAAGTGAGTCTCAGATGTCAGAAGCCTCTAATTACTCTCCAAGTGAGTCTCAGATGTCAGAACAGGTGGCCTAAATAATTTTTTTGCGTGTGTTCATTTTTTTAATTCATGATAATGTTCCTGCTAAGATGGCATTCTAAAGAGAGGATAACAGGAGAATGAAAACTCTTCATATATTCTTTGTCTGGATGGTCAGACCCACCTAGATCAGCTGCAGACAATGTTTTCCCAATGACAGCATTGAAGGTCCCAGTGACAGCAATTATAAAAGGCTTTATTTGTCATGGAAGTTTACTTAGCAAGTCTGTGTTTGTTTTACCTTGGTTGGCAAAGACTTCCTGCACTTATGAACCCATAAAGAGATGAATTACTGGTCTTACTCCGTAGTTCTCTCCAGCAATCATACTAAACTCAGGCCATAAGCAGCTCTCCCACCAGAACACAACTTACTGAGGGAGCATTTGGAACGAGATCGTGTTCTGTCCTTCCAGTCTGCATCGCAGTGTGAACTCGGACGGACTCATAGATGGAAGGTTCTTCCACTTTCCGTGGGTAGGGATGCTTCAATACGATTAAGGTTCCTGGAGGGAAAAAGAGCAGAAGTCATCTTAGAAAATAACTGTCAGTAGCTACCTGTTTGTGGAATGGTTAGCTTTACCTTTTCCTAAAATTAAAAAGGCAACTGTGAAAACTGCAAATATATGGTACCCTTTCAAAATCTTTAAACTTACTAATTCTTGCAGGGAATCACTTGACAGAATAAATTCCTTCCTGCACAGGAGGCTGGCTGGGTGGGTAGGCAGGATGCTAGACCAGGCAGGAGGCCGTAACAGTCAGTGGCTTTGCCAACAATCCACTACTTGCTGCATAAATCACTAAATCTGTCAGAACTTCAGATACAGATTTCCTAACAATAAACTCTCAATACCTTTGCCTTTAGCTGTTTTACCACAGCTCTTTTCAGTGAAGTATTTTGATTATCGCCCTTCTTTTCCAAATAATGTCATGTTTATTGCACATTCCCTGGAAAAAGATGCATTCTCCATACAGAATCTATTACACTATTCAAAATAGTGAAAAACTCCTTTACATAGTAACTGCTACACCAGCTAACTTCGTTCTTTAAAAATAATGTCACAGCATACCAAATGCAGCTTCATTTGCATTTTATGCTGATAGTGCAGCCCTTAAAGCAAAGGGATGTTAGCATTGGTAAGAACTTGGACTTGAAACCTGCAAGTGAATGAGTAATTTAAAAGTATTTTGTAATGGGAAGGGCTAAAAAGGGAAGTGGAAAAACTGTATTTGAAGTAAGCAACTGAAATCTGTTTGCAGGCACAGGGGGTGTATGCAAATGTGATATATTCAACTTGCTGTAGATGAGAAGTCAAAATCAATTTGTCTCTGGCCTTGCAAAAAAATAATGCTTTACCATTTAAAATAAAATTGAGAACATGCCTATCACCACTCTACAGAAACTAGTCTTAAGCTATTACACAGAATCAGAGTACCATCATCTGTACACCATGAATAAAAAGCCCCACTGAAGAACTGAGAGGACTAATTTAACATTTGATACAGTATTTGTTTTCTAATAACTCCTCCAGGTGTGTTTTTTTTCTCCACAAAAGGTACTTGTACAGAATCATTTGGTAACTGTATACAAGAACTAGTAAAAGCTGCACTGCAGCAACATTCTTCCTGCATGTTTGTGTGTGGCATCTATTTCTAAGGAAGAATGAAATTAGTCCCATTGTTAGAAATGTTAACTCCAAATGACTTTGGCTTTTTTGTCTGGGTAATTACAAAGCTTTTACATGTTTTCAAAATCAGTTAGGTAAAAACTGATAAACAAAGCAAACAGGTAAGAATAACATGTTGACCTTGTTATTTTGAATGAACATTCAGCTTCTCTGTTCAATAAACCATCTCACAGGACACAGTAGTCCCAAGTTCCTTTTAAATTATCTGTAGTTCAGAAGGAATTGTACACATTACACCGCAGAAAAATAGATGTGAGGCCATGTAGCAATTTGGGGTGGCAAATGAAGCTGTAATATGGACAAGGTTGGTTGGGCTTGAAGCACAAACCTGCAGCTGTCCCAGTGCAAAAGAGCCACTGCACTCCACGGACCAGTTTGCAGAGTGCAGTGTGTTGTAGTACTGATCAGAGAGAGTCTGGTGGGCCTCCTTCCGACACAAAACCAGCTCCAGTGAAACGAACTTAAATGGAAGATAGAATATGTAATGGTTTCCACTATCTCATGTGTTTCTCTCTTATAAAATCCTGTTCAAAAGTGAGGAGAAGATTAAAAATACTGCCTTGTTTTACACTTTCATTCATGATCTCATGGTGTTTCTATAGAAAAATTGTTTGCAAGTGTAACAGAATAAGAAAAATTAGTCCAACTACTTGCTACTAAATGCCTGAGCTAAAGGTTGCTTGCTGCTTTCCACTGAAAGCAAGTGTGCCCTAAGAGACTGTTCCTGGTCCTTCTGCCAACCTGCTGTGTGACTCTGTGTTGGGCCAGACATTCTGCCATGCTGACACGTGGCTTAAAGTTGACACTGATGAGCCCCTACCCTGTTTTTGACAGAATTGGAGAGATTTTGACACCTGTATCAGAAGTAACATTGCTCAAGTGCTAACCCTCAATTACTCTCTACTGTTAGCCATGGTAAGGTGGAAGGTTTCTTGATGTGATGTTCAAATGTTTTGGGTTTTTCTATTCTGAAGCACATCCAACGTAGAGGTTTCACAGAGCCAGCAGAAACTGATTAGGAAGCCTTAAGGTGACACGTGTGCCCATCATTCAGCAGTGTTGATCCTGTCCACAGAGGTCACATAACACCAATACCTTCATTACTAATGTCTGTACATGTGCAGTGGAGGAATGGGGAAATACAACTTTTATATGTCATCTGAAATCTTTACAGAGTTAGGCCTGTGGGTTCATGTCTGATTTCACAGGAAAAACAGCTTGCTGGCACAAGGACACATGTAGGAACTCTGTGTTCAAACCATCCTTGAAAGCAATTTAAAAAGAGAATGTTTTGAAAGATACAAGTGCTGTATCGAGTGTATAACTGCATTTTTCTTGGGGGAAGAAATTTGCAGAGCAGCCCTTGAATTTAATGTTTGTGCTAAAAGAGCACTGGTGCATTTAGTGTGTGACATATCACAGTTATTGCATGTGCCAACTATCCTTTAACTGATCTCTTGCATATATAATTACTACTACTCTGGGTTATCTGCACATACTTTCTGCAGAGGATACTGAAGTTTTTGGCACTAACTTGTACTGACACATCTTCAACTCTTACATTTGAAGCTAAACCTAAAACTGGCATTATCACAATAATATGCATCTGCTTCTCCAGGGATTTTAGTCTGGTGGTGTTCAACTCACTTGTAGGAATCGAGTTTAATCTTTGGAGCCTTAATTCAGGCAGCACATTGGCTGTTAAAGAAGCTTGTTCTTTTCTCTCTTTCTTAAAAACAAGACAAATCACTGTGATGGCAGATGGCATCAGCAGGTTGATGCACTGCAGGCAGAACAGGAGAGGTAATTCAGACCACATTCCTTACAGGATAGAGGAACATATCAGTGTAGACTTTTTCCTTGGATGAAGAATAGTGAATCTAAACAATTTCAAGTCCCTTTTCCATTTATTCTTGTGGGGGGTTCCAACTTCATAGATGAACATCTATTTCCTCACTAAACACCCTGCTTTGCTTTTGCCTTCTTAAAGAATGTTCTGTTCCTCACAGCACACATATATTTTGAAATGCTTCCTCCCCTGAGAAATCAAAAGGGCTCATGTCCCTGGTTAGCAAAAACCCAGTAAGTTTACATGTGGTTTATCTTCAGAGTACTTGAAAGATTTTTGAAGAGAAACTTCTCAGATACCTGAGGTTACTACAAATGTGAATTTATGAAAAGGAACACTTGAGCAGTAGATCTATTTGCTAATACATCAGAAGTTCCTTTAACTGAGATCTGTGCAAAGCATGACTACAAATGTGTTCATACAAACATATGTCTCTCCTTACCTGTCTCACTTCCAATTAAAGGCTGATTTGCAAAATGCATGACCAATTCCTTCAAGCTAGAAAATTCATTAAATCCAAATCTGAATGAAGTTCCTGTATGTTCAATATGGAAGTGCTTCACAGAATCTTTTCCCCTAAAATAAAAAAGGAAAATTTGTCAAGGCATAAATGCCAAAGGCATTTGGCATGTAATACACCTAAACAGCAGCTTTCACCACAGGACATCTGGCCCTGATCACAGGCTGGCAGTGACTGTCCTAGCAATAATACTACTGTCACTACTGTCCCTGGCTAATACTCAGCACATTCAAGAATCAGATTTATTAAGAAAAATCTAATTGCTGCTTTACGGATATGAGATGATGAAAGCCTAGAAAGGCCAAGTTAGTTAAATGAACACTTGCATCAATAAAAAGACTCACAAAAAATATTTCAAGCCTTCTGCCTGGGCAGGATGATATCCCTTCACTTCCTGGGCTTTAGTCTTGACAGTGTACCTATGTTACTTGGTATGTGTCTTACTTTCCAGGTAGCATCCCAATCTCATTGAAAATGTCTTCTGTTTCTCTTTCAAAAATAAGCTGCCTCCCTTTTGCACCCAAACAGGGGTTTCATAACCTAATTTTATACACCTAAGGGTTTAGAATTGGCCTGCCTTGTCTCTGTACTTGGGTGAGTGGTCCCTCTGTGATGGGCACTGTCAAGGTCCTTTGTCAGAGAAGTAACAGCATTTGCTTATGAAAGCTGATGCAGTTAGTGTGCAAGGCCTCACTTTCTGAATGGGCATTTTGACTTCAAAAGACAGTGAAGCACTTATTGCAAGTATTTCTCCAGGGAAAAAGTTCCTTTTACTAATGTTACTAGCACCCGAAATAGTTCAGAGTAACCTTCATCTGAGGAAAAACTTACATAAAAAATATGCTGAAAATACGCTGAAAAGGGGAATTTATAGTGTCTTTTTCTTTGTTTATTGCTTCTTCCACAGAAGATTATGATTTCGAATAGGTATTTAAATATTTATCTTTTAATAGCACTCATGACCTCAACTGGCCTCCTGCATGGTTTGCACTACAGTCAGCTGGGGCACAACAAGCCAAGTGCAGATGCTCCACACCAGCAAACTACTGCTGTGACTGCTGCAATGACAGGGCTTTCCTGATTTTCATTTGATTTCACAAGGACTGAAATGTTGCAATGACAGCAACTTCTACTCTGCTTTCTAGTTCCTTTTCAAGTTGGCTAATTTAGCTGGGAGGGCAGATTTCAGGCAATTTATGGTCTCTCTGCCTATAACTGTCAATAAACACCTCAAGGAATGTCTAAGCATTTTTTCCTTTAAAAAAAACCTAGCAAACCATAATAATGACTGAAGTTCCTCATGAGGCACACGCAGAAAGTAAAGTAAAAGCTGGAGAAAACATTTTAGGAGGGAAAGAAAATGATAGCTAGAATTGCTAAAATTATGCTTTCTACAAAAATGTATCAGAACAAAACTGAATTACTTATTCTAAAATTAAGTTTTAATATTAGTCCAAAAATTGAAAGTAAAATGTGGAGTTAAAGAAACAGCAGAAAATCCTTAGAACATTTTAAAATCACAATTAGTACTCCTGGCAGCTGTATCACCAAAAAACCCCAATGTAACAGAATAAAAGATCAAACTCCACTTTGGGCTATTCAGTTCATATGGCAATGCAGCAAGTAACTCTTGTTACTACATGAAGAGCAGAACAAGAGCTTGGAAAGGGTCTGAAGTAGACTTTTCTAGGTCTTCGAAGGCTAGAATTTGTTAAAGCTATAAATTTATTTCCATTAACTAGCACTTTAGCTTTTGTTTCCTGTTAAAAGAACAATTTAAATTTCGTTTTATTACAATTAGTTGTTTCCTGAGTGCCTTTTAAACTAGCTTCAAGATTCTTTTTAAACTGAGGCAGATGATCTCAAATGATCATTACATTTTAAAATAAAAAAAATATTAACCAGAAAGAAAATGATTCATTTAAAATTACTCTTTTTAAGGAAAGCCATTACTTATAAATGCCACTATTCTTTTTCCCAACATTTGCATTCAGTTCAGTCACTGCTACTCTGAATACTCATTTTGTAACATCTCCTTCAGATCTGTTGGATGCCCACTAAGCTCCTTGTATAATTGGCTGTCTATAGTGGTAATAGTTTCAGCTCCTAGATCTTCTGTCAGAAATGGGTGAAACAGCTCATAGCTACATTTTGGGGGGAACAGGATATGTGTAAATTCCACTTTCCTCAGTTCCCAAGGAACTATACTTCCAAATTGCAGCAGCTCCTGGTCCTGTATATGGAGAAAGCCACAATCTCAAGGGCATATGCTGTGTTCCTACCAGGTCTGTAAATAACTACCATCATTAGATGGATCAAAGTGACTTCAGCTTAACAAGTTACTGCGACTCAGCTGAGCTGTGGCCACCAATTGTTCAGAGGCTCACGCTGAGGCAGAAACAAGCTTGCACGTATTAGCTTAAATTTTACCCCAGAGGCTGCTTATATCACACAGTTGCCAAAGGCTAAGAATGTATTTAGGGTTGGTTAGCTCCACTCAGCTGACATGACTTGTGTGTCTAATGCATAATGTTGCCTCACCAAAATACTGTGGCTTCTCTCCTTCTTGGGAGATTCTTTGAATATGATTCAGTAGTGAAGTACCCAGGCCAGGCTCCCTGTATTGGTTGTGTCCTGAAGTGAACTGTTGTAACTCACTTCAAGGGCCTGACAGCTCTCACTTGCAAAATACTGTTCAAATCAGTCATGCACTACTGCCTAAGTTTGAACCTTAGCCCATCATGGAGGAGTAAAACCATCCAGTCAAACACTGGATCGTCCTTTGGAGAAGATGGTTCCTACACAGTGATTCTAGTGAAACTAGAATCTACACAGTGAAACTGGTTAAGTTACCACCTGTTAAATGGTATGTTTGCTACTGTCCTCATCATAAAACTTTTCTACTCCCATCAGCTGTTTCTTAAACTCTTGTAACTGCCATGAAGATTTTTATCATGCAGACTGAAAATCTGCAGTCAATTCACAGAATGATGTTTTGTACTAATAAAATTAATTCATAATTTGGAAAAATGAGAGCAATTTTCAAATCTAATCCAATCCATTTTTTT